CTTGAAATTGGAAAGATTAGTTTTTAATTTAAAATTCTTTTAAGAATATATACTTTACCATTTTCTATATGATGAAGGTCGTGTTTGGGGTGGTTAGCTGCTGCGTATATGGGCAGCACAGCGAGTACTAGTACCTGGAATGAAAGAATTGAAAATGTTAGTGAAACTAATAATTGAATTAGTATGCTTATTAATTAAATCATTGATAGAAAATGTTGGATTTAGTCTATGAATATTATTGACTTATTAAGGTAAGTATTCATTGGTATATTAAATTCACATAAATCAATGTATTATTTAAAATGCATAGCATTTGTACAACTCTTTTCTTTAACACTTCTCCCACGAATTAGAAAGTTCCATTAAACGGTCAAATCGTAACTTCGAGATGCAATAAAACAGAAAGACAAATTGAGCTACTCCTTCGAAAGCAATCTAAGCCAGTGACCCAGTTTGTATCCGCTTCGACTGTATCGTTAATATGATTCGTTCCTCGTTAATATGGAATTTTACGAGATACGAGCTCACGAACACTCGCCTTGCCATCGTTCAAAGGTTCAAATATATGTCGAATCCCCGCGCAGTGGTAAAAATCAGTGTCGGATTGAGAAAGTCGGCTAATGTACTTCGCCGACTTCTCACGATGCACACTATCGCATCGCGACGTGCACACGCGCTCGAAATTGGGTACAACAACGACGAGTGCACGATTCTCGCGAGGCGAAAGGATGAAGGCACCTGATACTTGGCTACCTTTCAAATACCAATGTGAGTTAACATTGACGATAACAGATAGAAATTTCACGCGAAATAATGTGGGTCGAAGCTCGGTGAAATAACATTCTGTGATTACGATCGGTGAACGAGGCCGTGAGTTTCTTGTGAACTTGAATATACGTTTACCGACGTTGGCACCTTTCGATTACCGTTACGTACTACATGCACTTCTTTCGGATTTCTTTACACAAGAAAATCGATTAACATTAAAACTACCAGACGAATCAAAATGACCAATTTCTGATTTCTTCTTTTTGCAATTATTAAAAAGATAACAGATATTCTTCTGAGAAGTTATTAAAGAAATTGATTTAACAGTACGCAAACTGAATTGTAAATCAATTGAAGTCTCAATAAATGCAATCTTGCAGTTTCTATAGAGAATTTTTAAAAAGTCAAGTCTCGGTAGTTTCAGTGTTAAGTGATTGCAAATAATTGACGTTCAATTGCAGTTGGTTTGACCCAAAATTGTTATATGAAAAGTTGCGACTTCTTAGTGTAAAAAAGGAAATGATTAAATCCGTGAATATCAATATGAATAAACGATTTGTATAATTTTGTGACAGTAATCAAAAGATGTTACAGTAAAAAGAAATGAATTATAATTCATAATTGATTAGTCATAAACACGTTGAATATAAAATTAATACGAATTATTCAAATCTAGTTACTTGGAATCTACCCTACGTTTAAAAGACGTGCAAATTTGTTTTATTTTAAAAGATATTGCAACAAACCATATATAAAAATTGTATGAACGAGAACACGTTACATATTCTATGTTCAATGTTAAAATTACACTTCTACACTAAAAGCACATGACAAATAATACGTAACACACGGCAATAGCAGAAAATTATTTCGATTCAGTCGCGACGAATTAAAATAGAAAAGAATGCATAAATTTACGAAAATTTGAAATTAAGACGTGGTCAGATATTCAAGTGAAATATGTCAGAGAACGGTTAGTACTCACAAGGAACTTCATAGTGAAGGTGTAGGTGATTTCAGGATGGTAGCTGGACGAAACTGGCGGCCGCGTCGCGACGCACTTCTATATGGACGAGCGTATCTAGGGTAAATGGTCCGGCCAACCACTAACTTTCACGGTTGGTCGGTTTCGACTGATTTTTTTCTTTTTCCTTTAATCGTGCAGGTCCCCTGCCCAATCGTCACGTAACGCACTTGCCCCGTATCAACGGAATGCAACGTTTCAGTGACTGCTAGCCAGGAAGTGTTTCAGCTGGCTGTACTAGAAAATCTTGGGCCACGACAATTCGACTGAATATCGTGGTCGATTTAAGAAACCAATTATTAGTAAACGGGTTTCGGGTCATTCAGGTCAGGAAGTATCTCAACCCTTTCCATGCTTTCAGTTAGCATACTAGATTTTCAGGTGATATATTACGGGTAACGTTATAATGTTAAGTGGAAATAATATTAATTCAATTATACGTGAAATAATATTGGATTAGCAAATAGACAATTTTTTATGAAGTTAATGGTCGACCAAAATGAAATATTATGCTTAATAATTTTCTATTCATCTTAGAGAGAATTCACTTGTAATTTTTATAATCATTATTATTTAACACTAAAACTACCAAGCAATTAAATTGACTTTTTGATATTCCTTTATAGAAACGCCAAACGTGCATTTATTGACACTTTAATTGATTTACTATTCAGTTTTCATATTGCTAAATTAGTTTCTTTAATAATTTCTCAGAAGAATATCTGTTATCTTCTTAATAATTGCAAAAAAAGTACATCAGGAATGGGTCATATTGACACATCTGGCAGTTTTAGTGTTAAATAAATTATTCGTGGCTCGAACTATGATGGAAGCTGTTTTTAATGTTTGCATTGGTTTCAAATTCAGGAATTCATAAGAAATTCAATTTTCCCTGTTCCTTTTTCAAAAATTATATTCTATATATGAGAATTCTGTTTTAATCGCAGTCCTGCTGCGAACCTTTTAATTGCATGAATAATACCTGTGAAAATCCAGACAGACGAGAAAGTTGCAACTGGTAAAATGTAAAATACCATTTTTTATATGTTGCTCTTGACACGCCCGCAGTAGGAGGTAATTATGTGTTCGCGGTTTTCATGTTTTGTATCACTTCTTGCGAGCACGTTACGAAATCATTCTTCTAGCGTGACAGATTAATCCTTTTTCGGTGTCAATACTTGTCTGGCTACAAAAATATTATTACAATTGATCAGAATTCCTTCAACGTTACAAACTTCATTTACAAAAAGATCCTACATTTACTTCTTATTCTTTATTAAACTACTTTTGCAAAATATGCTGTAAGATATCGTATAAACGCGAAAAAATACAATCATTTGAAATTACACAATTATCAAACACTTCCATTTTAAGTTTACATTTCTTACTGAAATTTTCAAGAAAATTCAAAAATTGTATAAAATTAGTTTGAAAATATATTCAGCATTTTGATAAGAAATTTTGATTAATGATATTACACCGAAAACATCCTCAAATATAAAATAAATTCTCATGATGGTAATTGTATGAAACGAAATATTTGTTTTACGAACAGTTCAACTGAATCAAATTATTCGATGCAATAAATCTATGCATGTGCAACGAACTTTCCCAACGAAGTCGTTGTTACGACGTGTAAAAACCAGAACGACTTTTCCTGAGCACATATTATATCAGAGACCGATTCTAGTTACGTGAAAATCGTTCGGTTGACATTTCTCTTTAAAAGCAGCACCCGTAAAACGGAACTGTGACCTGAACGATGATAACGAACTGAAAATTGTACGTTGAATGATTGAAAGTAAAATAAGTTTGGTATCTGAAAATAATTGAAGAATCAAGATTTAATGATTTTCACTCGATGAAAACTGATTTCGTAATTCAACGTCTCACTCATAATAAAATTTATTAACTGTTTGCTCATTACGTAACGTATAGCAGTATTAACGCGTCCAATAATTTTGTAACATTCGTCAAAGATTAAAAAGAATAGAAAAATCCAGGTATTACGCAAATGCATACGTACTTACATACATCACTTTCAATGAAATCATTAAAAGACTTTTCCATTCACAGCAAAATGAATAATCACTGGTCTACAATATTTCACACGTATGCTAATTTTTATGAATTAATTTACAAGAACTAAGATTGATTAGAAATTTATAGCAGCGTATAATATATTTAAAAGTTCAATGCAATGTTTCTGTCTCATTGTTCTATATTTATCTCTCAAACGCATAAAATGCATAAAATGCATAAAATGCATAGAATATGTAAAACCTGCAGTCTAATAATCAAATTTCCAAGCAAAAGATTTCAGTTTAAGAAACCCGTGTTGCGTTAGAAATTTCGAGTGAAAAGGAGGAACAGCAGAATATAAACTGGATAAGGAAAATCCAGTCTAATGGATCGAAAATTGATATCAACATAAATATAAATCACGAGTCAATGCCTATACGCGGTTAAAACACGTATTTCTAGTCACGTAACGGTATGCTCGATCGTTGCAGGAAGCATATGCGCCGGTCACTTCCGTATTCCTAACTGGACCGCATTAGTACTTCTCACAAAGTGCACCGTTTTCACGTACATGCATACGTGGAATTCATGTTTCATTTGTCGATTATAAATCGAGCATAGGCAACCCGATGTAACTTTCGCAAAATCATTCGTTTAAAATGGCGTAAAGTAACATGTTTCATGGATTAATTAACACGCTCGCCGGCTACAATGTTGGCCAAGCAAACATTTTTTGTATCTTGTTCTAACGATACGCTCGTTCGAACAATGAAGCCAGCTTTCCGAGCTATTAAATCGTCACGACGATTAACTCGTTGCTACATGAGAGAAAAGCTTGTTAAATGGAAAGTAGATCACGCCACGAATATTCGGCAAATGAACTGTAACGTAGCGTAAATAAACGGGATCTCTTTAACGGGTCGGAGTCACGGACACACGATTTATTACTATATAAGTCTGGGTTAGATTCATCAGCTTCATCGCGGTTCAACAGAAGAAGCGTGCTGTGATTCATCGACATTATTTTTATTAGTGTACAGTTACAAAACATTGATCCTCGTGTACATGTGCGAGATCACGCAGGTAAACTTGACTCAGTTTGTTTTTCATTTGTTTCTTTGCGTAGTATTATATGCCATCTGCTTGAGTATTAAATCAGTCACATGATCGGTATACTTTTAAATGAAAAATATTCTAGTTCGCTGAAATGTGTAAGTATGAAAGTATAAGAGTATAAAAGTATAAAAGTATAAAAGTTATAAAAATAGTTCATTACGAAATTACAAAGTCAGTGGAATTTTACCGACAGATTAAAGCTAAGATGGTGAACTCAGTAATGATACGAAATGCGCCGCATCCAATCGTATTTCTTTTCTCCTGATCGATCGAGAAAGATACTATTTATTAGCAAAAAAGACATTCGTTTATCTAGGTTAACACTTTTTTTTATATAAGAAATGGTTGAGAAAGGTTTAATACGTGGGATTTTTACGTTAATGAAATATTAATGAATGACTGGTACAAAGTATTGAAATATTGAAGTATTCAATCAAGTGTTCATTAAACTTGTAACTGAAGTATCCATAAAATGTGTAATACTATTATACGAATAATGTATAAATAAACCTTTTGAATATCTGTAATAAAGATTATTGTCCAGTATCTATTATTCTCAACCTATTTCTCAATTTTTCAGTTATTAAACATCATTAACATTAACTTTCTGAATATAAACATCAACCATTCTCAATATAAAATTACGTATATAATTAAAACAATGTACAAAAGTATGCGGAACGAACCATACATTAACAAAAATATTATCGTAATACAGAAAAATCACATCCTCTGTTCTACCAAGAGATTAAACAAGGCATTACTCGAGGCTTATAAAGTAAGATTATTACAGAACTATCACACAGTAAATTAATGAGACGAAATACTTATTCCTAATTAAGTTATTCAAAACAGTATCAAATTTAAGCTCAACGATAATACAACGAAACAGCGTACTCAATTTCTCTCAAACCCAATGCTTCCCTATAACATCAATCCAAACTATCCAATCAAATCTATGTATTCATTTTGTAACAATATTATGCCCTATTTATTCCTTTTAATTATCAATCAGACATCTAATTCGATGGTCATACAAACAATTAATACTTCAACATTAGGCACATATGGTGATTGAATGAAAACACGAGCAAAAACTGCATAACTTAAAGAATAACTTTTTTAGATTGTATCTACCAGATAGATGTACTATTTGTGCATAAATTTACCTATACACTAACTTGTATTTGCATCTGAAGACCAATAGTACACAAGAAATGAATTTTTAGAAAAATACTTGAATATGTCCGATATCAAAGTATTAACCGTAGCCGATACCGGGTCACTTTTACATGAAATTACATATAATCGAATGATCTTCTTTCATTTCTTCATTATTCTTGAATCATTTAACAATCAATCCTGTAATTCCTATGATAATCCTATGAAATTCCTAGATTCCCACAAAAGAAAAGGTCTGTCTCATAACGATCTGTGATGCTACAAGATACAATTTTGACGTACAAATTAAACCTACAATACAAATTATAAAAATGTTACGAGTCACAAATGACCCGGCTTCGGCTCATCGCCTCATTGCTAGACGGCTGTCTGATGATTGATGCATGAACCAACATTCTCAGTATTGATTCTCGGTGACTGGACGTACTCCTGTTTCACCGCGTTGCTGGTAACCTGGCTGACCTTGAGAGTATTGAGGATACTGAATATCACTCTGGTATACTTGGTTGTAGGAGCTCGGTTGACCTTGATAGGCATCCCCTGGATTTTGATATGCACTTGGCTGAGGCTGGTACTGGGCTGGTTGATTTTGATAGGCGTTTGCCTGACCCTGGTATGCTTGTCCTTGATACTGAGGCTGTAGCGCGGGCGCAGGATCAGGAGCTGGAGCTGGACTCTGAACGCGTTGGGGCACATATGGTTTCTCAGGACGTGTAATGCCGACTAGATTAGGCAGGATCGTGTAGGGGATCTGAGACTGGAACTTCAGCAAATCTTTTACGTAGCCTGGATGATTGTTCGAGTATTGGAGCTGAGGTTCCGGGGCTGGTTGCTGTTGAGGATGAGCTTGCCTTCTCTGCCTAGATTTCGGCGCGTAACGTTGCGGAGAAGCCGATAGATCCCGGAAATGCGCGCGGACAGCTTCTAATTGTTCCCTTACTGCTACGTCTGTGTTGAACCTTGGGATTGAACAATTCAAGTTTTAGTTGTCTGAGTTGAACCTTGGGTTCGAAGAGTTCAAATTGTTAGTTGTCTGTGTTGAACGTTGGGGTTGAAGAGTTCAATTTTTAGTTGGTAATGGTGATCTAGATTTAATGTATAGATTGTAGAAGAAAAATGTTTCTAACAAAATGCTACAAAGTGAAAGGGAAACTTAACTATTTTTAAAGAAAATTTAACTAGGAAAAGTAAATTTTGAACTGTTATAGAGTAGGATGTATACAATGGAATCTTCAATATATATTATATAATACATAATTTTACTCTGGTATAAAGTAATAAGTGAATATTGAAATACTGATTTTGGGAAAAGAACTTCCCTGCCAATCTAATGATACACTGGAAATCAGGAAAATATCGGAAGATCCTTCATTAGTGAAAGAATTTATAAACATACCTGAACTGTTCAGGAATTCCATTGATGTGTGGAGTTTGCTGCTGGAATTTCAGGATTTGTTGCAGTTCAGGAGGCAGACGGGTAGAGTAATGAAGCTGTGGCTCGGGCGGTGGTTGTTGCGGTGCCTGTCTGTGTCCTTGCGCTTGACGTTTCTGCCTTGATGGAATACGAGCTTTTCCACGGGATGGAGGACGTCGTGGTTCAGGAACATATTGCTGTTGTTCTTCGGCTGGATACTGAGGCTGTTGCTGTTGCGCCCCGATTATGTTTTCGTATCTGTGAAATCCAGAATTCTTGTAGTAACGATAAATTTTCATGAAATATAATATATATACATTATGTCGTCATGCAACAGTATTCTTAAATAACTCTTCTGACAAGTCTGAACACTTTCTCTGTTAAACTTATCCTACGACATTAACCCAATGAATCTACATTACTCCTAACTTCTGAGCAGAAAACTCGAAAATAAATAAATAAATCAAGCTATCCAAATTCCCTTTAGTATAATTATTTTATAATCATCAATAATACAATGATTATGCTAAAATAAATAAGGTTATCTACGTTCAATTCAACATAATTGTTTTATAGTTATTGGCTATACAATAGTTATACCGTATACTGTAAACTATTTCACAAGAGTTTCAATAGACATTACCTAAAGGGCTCTGGGATGATATTCAGGTAAGGGAGCATCTTTTGAAACTGAAACAGTTGTTTGATATCCGCGGGTGCGTTTTCGTATGGCTGCGCCGGTGGCAGTATGGGTTCATATGACTGAGCTTGCGGCTGTGGTTGTGCTGCTTGTTGCGGACGAGCGTGTGCTCGTTGTCGCTGGGGCGCTACTCGCGGTGCACTGGCTTGGACTTCCGAATATTGCGGTTGCGATTGCGACGATGGCCGCACTGCTCGGTCGTATGATCTCCAATTCACCCTCAAACCTTTCAAATAGTATCATTATCGTGAGTATCGTAACCCCATTGCAAATCTAGTTTTCGTAAACCATTAACCTCTTCTCCAAGGAGAATTATCAAATAGTTCTTAGCGCTGAACAGGTTTCAGACCTTAACAGAATTTTAATTACTTGTACAGTTACAGTGAAAAAGTAATATAATATTTTTCGAAGCAAGAAATCAGAAATAGGGACAAGTTACTCTCTGATTTTTTGTTTACACGCTGAAGAACGTTGATGCAGTAATAATATAAAAATAATTTCTTAAGCGGTAATTCGGTAACGAATATACACTGCCAGTCAAAAGTATCGGACCATTTGATATGTAATGTCAGAAATTAAAAATTATATATCTTGTAAATATATAAAATAAAATAATAAAAATTATATCTTTATATTTGACTAATACACACATGTCCATATTCTTTTATCATACACAAAAATTCCCCAATTAAAGTTATTTATAAAACATGAAAGTTTTTATATATATATATATGTTCTCAAACATTCGCTCTTAATCTCTCACTCTGGGTTACTTGCCCGTCATCTATTTACTACTAGGCAACCTACATCCTTACACTCTACAACCTGCTCGGAAAACGCGCCTAACGGTTTGGCTTCTTACAGTAACGTCACTTACTTTAATGTACATTCTACCAACATCTAAATACTGAAACTATATATCTACATATTGGGTTCTATCCCTTAATTTATGGCTCGATTTAAAAGTTCTATGATTAAATAGTAATTACAATAATAATTAAAGTCTGATATATTCTACTGTCACTTACCACTGGGATCGTTGTATTGAAGCGATTTCGTAGAAGGATTGCCATCATAAGAACCCTGAATTACGGAGTGACCATCCGTTGCTCCTTGAATATTATATGCAGGAGGTGGCGCTGGATGGATATATCTATCAGCGCCAGCAGCAGTGGCAGGCTGTATGTTGTAATTCGAATGACCATCGCTACCAGCTTGAACATTAGAGTAACTGTCACTAGCGCCTTGAATATTAGAGTGACTGTCACTAGCGCCTTGAATACTGAAGCCTCCAGTCGATGGAGCTGAAAAATGAAAATTAAATATAATTGTATAAAGAAGTAGCATGAAATTAACAGAAGTATCGAAGATATTTTGTTAATCGTGTAACAGTATCAATGCCTTAAATAATTCATTACCACGATGCCCACTGTATTCGACTTTTCCTTCGCTATCCACTGACAAACTCTCAGCTGCTCGACTCCCGTCACTCGCTCCTTGTATTCGGAATTGTGCTAAGCACATGGGAAGTGCTATTAGCAATATAACCTGTAAATTATAATAGTTATTTTATATATATATATATAATTATTAATATATTTGTCATTTGGTCATCGTACACTGTTCGATTTGAATTTGAAGATTACAAAAAGCAGATAATAAGTTTTGATTTATTAATTTGTCGTGTTAAATATATCAATTAATTTAATATCGATAGCTGTCATTGGAGTATAGTTTAATTTTATTCGGATGTTAATTTCGATCCAGTTTAATTCATGAAAGTATGGATACAAGGATTACATGAATAACGGACAAGGTTTAAACAACTTCGATCTCGTGTACTTGTCTGGCTGCATAATATCGGATTTTGGTCATAGTATTATCTAATACAAGAGAACTTGATTCTGGAGCAAGTACAATTATGCACGGACTGCTTTGTACCGAACTGGTATATATGGCATTGCATCTCGCGAAAGGTACAACATAGCTGTAGGCGAAAGTTGCAATTTCTGGTCTAGGAATTGACTGGGTCGTTAATTATATATCATGTCCTGTTAATAATTTCCCTTCCTAGGAACGTAGCAGTTAAACTGATATTTTTACATAAAAGTCGCCAACTTGTTAAAATCAGTGACATTCTTTCAAATTCTAAAGGAAACGAGTGGAATTAAAATAAAAATGTAATTTACTTCAATATTGGCTGCACTATCATTAGATATTTCTATTTTAAAAAAATTAATACCCTCTTATGAATTCTTTTTATCGTTCCATATTAATTTTTTAAAATTCTTTTCTTATGTCTTTCTTGTTTAATACTTCAAACAATAATTTTCAAATATCTATCATTAATTTATTATTTCAGGTTAGTAAATACTAAATTGATTCTTTTAAGTTTTAAAGCAAGCGAGTAATATATAATAACTTATTATTTATTAAAGCTTTACAATAACTTATTATTTATTAAAGCTTTATAATAACTTATTATTTATTAAAGATTTATAATAACTCAGTATTTATCAATCGTTTGTAATAACTTATTATTTATTAATAATTTATAATAACTCAGTATTTATCTTTGATTTATAATAACTTATAATTTAGTAATGATTTATAATAACTCAATATTTATTAATGATTTATAATAACTCAATATTTATTGATGATTTATAATGACATAATATTTATTAAAGATTTATAATTACTTAGTACTTCAAAGTAGGAAACACTAAGTTAATTCTTATAACGCGTGCAAAATATTTAGTTAAAAACTGATGGCCGGCTCACTGGCAACTAGGGCAACGCGGACGCATTTAATTGGACATCACGTTGATGTAATTCCGGTACGGAGGGGAATGCACCGTGTCTTTGACCGGCGAACGCAGTTTCCGTAATCGGAAAAAGGTGACGCGAGGGAGCCTTTACCACCGAACATTCCAGCATTGCGGTAAGAAAAAGGAACGAAACCTATCTGGAAACCGGGACTAAGTTACCACGGTGCAACGATCTGGCTCACCGTCGCAGGAATTACACGCTCACCGGTAGAAAGTGAAATATAAATTAACCGACAAGACACGCCTGGTTTCGATTATAAGAGAAAGACAAAAATACACACGTACGGAGTTACGGGCGCAACTTGTTTAGAAGTGTCACCCGAACCAGGGAAAAAAGTGGTACGGCGTATTAACAGTTCTATGGCACAGTTTTTTTCCTCTAAATTTATAGGAATTTCATTTCAATTGGCCTTATAATTTATATAATTAAAAATGAAAGTCAATGCTACGTTGCATCGAACTATTACTCGCGAGCAATGAACTTCGAATAATCTGCATGATCTTCGGTTGAAATAAGCTGTATAATATAAATTTATTCAAATTTGTATTTGATTTTGAATATTCTTCATTGAGGAAGTTATGAATTTTATCATTCCCTTTCGTGAAAGTAATAATATTTTTCATTTGTTACGTTCTTCAACAATTAATTTACTATTTAATAGGGTATTTCCTTTCAGGAAATATAATACTGTAGCTAAAGTAAACTGCGACCGCAAAGATAGAGTACGCAGAATTCCATTTCACTCGACTTCTCTGACCAGTATTGATCAAGATCGTTATCTTCCACTCTCCGATTTATAATCATTGCACAGATCAATTAAACTGGGCGTGAATAAAATTATGTCGATGTCAAGCTTGTTACACATTCTCGCGCTATATGAAAGTGAAGCATTTCCAATTCGATTAATCTCATTAATCGAGGTTAGGCACTGATTTATATTCAAATATTCCGTGCCTGTGAAAATGTTTTTGATTTATCTCTAATATAAAACTGAAACGGTATCGCTAGATTATACTTTTCCTTTATTCATTCACATAAACTTCTTTCGTTTCATTGATTTATGCTTAGAGTGAAATCCAGAGGAATAAATTAATAATATATCTACCTAAGTAATTTCCAGAATTTCAGGTGTTCGAAATGAATCTTCTAAATTGCCTTATTCCTCTGCATTTATTTAACACGTTAAATATAATATAACTTCTTCTATTGCTAATAATTAAAGCGGAGGTAATCGACGAATAATCAAAAAGCATGACTTCAATTTTCAATCAAGAAGAAACACAATACACAAAATAAAATCTACAATATCACAATCACAAAATTTCAACTCGTAATTCAAATCCAACAGAATAATTATAAACAGGAACATAAATTTCAAATTCGGTCTACGTGATACCGAATTTCGTAACACCAACAGTAACCTTTTACGTAACAGAACAATGTCACGACCAATTTAATAGAATAATCACGAGAACACAACAGCGTCAAAATTAATTCCAAGTTTCCCCCGCTAGCGAGTGCTTTTCCCCGATTAATTAATCCACGAACATGTTGGTAAATTACGGAGTACATCGGTGAAATCCAAGAGCATACGTGACGTCTCGCAGCAATTACCCGCACGTAACCCGTCTATGTGCTTAGCTTTACGGCACACGATTTGTATCACTATCTCGATCGAAACTCGAGATCAGAATTTTTTCTGACAAACAGCTTTCTTCCACTTACCTCCGCTTAAATCTCGCGAGAGGAAAGATGTAGGAAGAAAAACCAGCGAACAACGATATATCCGGGGAAAAAGGGGAAGTGAAACTGTTCGAAAAACTCGTGAATCTTGTTGAATGCGGAAGATTTACTTACGAGCAAATTCATGGTGAGAAAGCAGGCTGCTCGATGCGTTCAAGGGTGGAGTGTTTCTGAGGCGGCCGCGCCGTCACCGGAACAACTTTATAGGCGGCCACGTAAAAGGCGCCATTCGGCGACGGGGATGTGACTTCTTGTCCCACCTCCACAGGCCTCCGCATTATCGGCTGGCCGGCACTGTTCCACGGAACAGTTTTTCCAGCTCACGGATTTTGTACCACACTGTTCGTGAACTGTCTCGCTAGCAATCGGGTACAATCTGCAAGATTAGATTTATTGTTTATTGGTAACAATATTATTTATTTGTATTCGGTAGTTCAAGGAAATTAATGGTTCAGCATGATAAAATCGTATTTCTGGAAAAAGAGCTTTCGTGAAATGGTCTTGGATTAATTGAATAATATTAGTGATATTAGTAATCGATAAGAATGAATAGTTTTAATCATTGTTTTGGGGAAGTGAGGAATAGGTGATCACTAGCTTCTAGTCAATTGAAATGATTAGGTTTGTAAAACGTAGATTCGTAGATTTATTGGATGGATGATCATGGTTCAGATTGTTAAGATTAGATTGCAGGCTTCATGTATTCGTGGCAAGCATGAAAGTTTGAATTGTGAAACAGTGAAGATTTCAGAAGAATTTATGAAAGTTGTGATTTCGTTTCGGACTTGTTAGGAGTTTCGAGGGAAGAAGTGAATTTTTGTTTAATTCTTGTTTTTTCGGATAATTAAGAAATATTCGAAGTTTTAGTAAAATTATTAGAATTCTTACTGTGTGTTTGATTTGTCTGTGGACTCTGTAAATATGATTTACCGGTGATCAATACCTTTACGTATGATAACGAAATGAATTTTTACATTGCAGAGAATGCATTCATTGGCGTTTATATATTATATGCTAATACTTGTGTCTCCAGAATGTTTAACAAGTGCACATGGTTTTTATTTGAGCAGATTGCAGAGGGTTAGCGCATGGCTAAATACATGTCAGAAGGTAATTGGTACACTACAAAGCGCAGCTGAACGCACTTTATATACCTCGGTTTCTCTTTACTTGTTATGGGTTGTGTACGATTGCATCCTCGGAAAATGTTGAAGGTATCACCGTGGAATGCGATTCAGAGATACGTTTCCCAAGAGGATACTATTCAAAGGTTACTGTGTAATGGCTGCACGCTCAATTAATGCACTTATGTGCATGGGACTTAGGTAACACTTAAAAGGGAATAATACAAATGTAATTGATTCCTAGAAAGTGTTCCACAAAAACCGTACACAAACGAGGAATACTGTGAGACCGCCGGAAACTATTCCACGCTACTGCAACTGCTACAGTTTTCGATGGGCAATAAAAAGTAATCCTTCGGTTGCATCACTATCGAGTTAAAACATTTTTATTTAACGAAGAATTATGATTACAGAAAGTTGCTTGAAACATACATAAAATAAGTGTCTACTATAAAAGCAGATAATATGAAATATTTTTCTAACGTATTTGTTAAACCAATTACACGTGTGTGTTTCCGTTTACTTAAACAAGGAACACATACGTCAATCCCAACTAAAAAAACCTTACACCTATAAATAATTTAAGTTTGACTTCATTTCTGCAAATTTCCTTCGCACATAAAATATTATAATCCTTCATTATATTCTTTTACCGGTAATCATCGATGCATACGCTGTCAAAGATTCAAAAAGAAAGTGGATACTCATAAAAAGCAAGTGCAGTAAACCCTTATGTAACATCACGCTTGGCAGGAAATCATTCATCTCCGCATTAGAGAATATACTTAAGGTTTTCTTTATGATGGTGCACTCCTATTTGCATGCAAATAACCATATATATATATATTGTATATACATTATTGTATATACATATATAAAATATATATACATATAACACACACATACACAGAGGAAAAGGGAAAAGTAGAGTTTTAACGATGAAATTGGTACATCTTGCAAGATAGGGTAACATCCGTCTATTTTTTTACCAGGATGAGAGTTATGCACCTTGGAAAAGTGATTTTTATCTGGTTACATACCGTGCCGTTTCAATGGCAGTTCGGTGAACTCTAAAAAGTCCCAGTGAATTATACATTCACGCAAAGGAGTTGTGCAGAAACGAAAGTTGCAGCGCACCGCGCAAGATCGTGCGCATAGTCCCAATTGCCGAGAGTAAATGCGAATCGGTGCAGAATGCGTGAAGGCCAGCAAACCGATTCGCGTGGTCTTCCTTGTTCAGGGAAACGGCACTTCCGTTACCAATCACGCTAATCAAACAATTTCAATGGAAACACCGATTTTCTTTTAATCCTACGAGCTAAATATCTTATTAAAATCAGTAAATCAGTCGCTTGAGCGAGTGCATTTAATGAATTTCATAAATTAATTAGAAAAACAGGTCCACGCTCGACTTCCTCGTGATGAAAAACGAATACTTTGAACTTTCGAAGGGAAAGAAATATAATAAACGCAACTTGTCTCGATCCATGATAAATCTCTTTATGGAATTCAGTGAAATCGACACCACCACCGTTACAATTCCGTATTAAATTCTGATCTTTACAAGAAGAACTATTTATCTCTTTCCTCGCGGAAACGGGACGCTAAATACTGCGATTCCGAGTAAAATTCAATTCATTGCGAGACTACTATGCACCTTTTCCTTTTACTTGCGAAATGTGCGTTCTAAGCGGTACACATCTGAAAATATAAGATTCCTTCACCTTGTTCGATTATCTCACTTCCTATCGCTAACACGAAAAACCACGTAACGATATCTATTTTTCCTACATTCGATCATAGTTCTATTTTCTCTTTAACGTTTAATTCACTCTTAACACCAGGAAAGATCAACCATACCAAACCTCGGTAAAAAAGAAACGGTCTCGTAATTTTCTGAAATTTCATTACCAAAAACTTACGTTTGCTTGCAATCGTCGCATTATTTCTTCTCTTCTAATTAACATTAAAACCACCGACCAGTCGAATTGACTTTATTCCATTTTTCGCAGAAAATCTAATTTGTAATTCAGTCTGTGCATTACTGAATCAATTTCATTAGTAACTTCCCAGAATAGCATTAATTACCTTTTCAATAATTGTAGAAATCAGGAATCGGTCATTTTGACTCATCTGGTAGATCTAGTTGTCCAATCGATCCCCGACAAATTCGCTTGATCTTCGAATTTTTATTCATTTTTGTTCCTTGATGAGTTCCTGACAAGATATCATCGACTTTCTCGATATACAGCCGAACAGAAACAAACAAACGAAGGAACGAAGAAACGCGTTCACTTTCGATTCGTCGACGAACATCGCCATGTTGCTGTCGACGAATCAAGCCGACATGCAGTGCGGCGAAACACACGTTTTCTGAACAAAACTTAATAACTTAAAAAGTATAGGTATTAAAAGAACATGCTTCAGAGAAAAGTGATTAGCTACACAGCTAAGCATATGATGGTTATATTTTTTTACACTATAGAAACCGGAATATATTCGCATAAAGTTATAAAAGATCAGATCTACATCGTAAAATATTTTCCATTGTTAAAAAATCTGTATAAATATATTTAATAATGAACACAAGGTAAAAATATAAATACGTGGGAAACTTGGAATATCTGGCAATCTTCGGATATGCTAAACAGTAGTTATCGTTCATTAAGTTTTCTAATAAAAAACATTTTGTACAGCAAGGACCCAGTTAGCAACAAATTGATAACCTTCAATTCTCGTTATGTGAATAGCCGATTTTGTTTTAGTTTTGTCCATGGGCGACCGTACAGTGCGACATCTCCATTAGAAAGGTGGAAACTGTCTTACTTTCTAACGAGGCTTAATAAGAAGAGATCGATTAACCGCCATGGCTGAGCAGGATCGCGATCCGTTCGGAGTGCGTTCTTCGTTCCATCGAGCGAAGATCTAAATGAAATCCAGTTCGGAAGCGGGCGGTGCGCGCCGGCTTGATCCGATAGATACATAGATCGATAACCATTTCGTAACCGCAACCGAGGTTACTTTTACGCCGGAAGTTGCGTTCACGCGCTGCTTCCACTCGCGATCGCGAAAGGCAACGGTCACGTGGAAATGGGAAACGATTCTCGTCGAGCGACGCGTTCAAATAGAATTTGCCCGATGATATTTGGCCAGGCGAAAGAAATAGAAAGCGGATTTAACGGGCACACACTTTTCACGACGATTGCCGGGATATAAAACAGTTTATTAACACTTTACCTATCGGTGTCCGAAAATAGTTGAACCTCCTGTAACGCTATTGATACGTTAATGTCTCACGATTTCAATATTAAACATTATAATATTAAACTGTTTGCAAATAATCATCGTTTAATCGACTGAGTTATAGTAATTCGATTTGATCGGAGTCACCGGTAACCCCCATGGCATTCAACGTGCTAAAATATTCCCAGCGTTTCACGTTTACGAATTTCGCGTGAAATTTCCCTTTTGAGTACTGTAGTAATTTGTATTAAGCTGGTCCTCTATTTTTATCAGGCTCTTATGGAAGATTTCACATTCGTGGTTATTTTTCGGTAATTTTTTAAATAGGGGGTTCTACTATAATCCAATTTTTTACAGCTATACTTGTCTACTGGGGTCTGAAAAATCGGATTTTCGATGGTAACGGTTGTCAACCGAAATTTTTCAAAATTAATCCTTGGAAATTGAATAAACATTGTACAGTAAATCCGAGAAGGATGGCCAAATTTTTTAAAAAGAACTATTATATTAGAAATGTCATTGATATGTAACAAAAGAAGAAAATATTTATGAAAGTAAATATATATACGAAAGATAGTTACATAGGCCTCTGTGAAAAAATCAATATACCACTAAAAACAATTAAAAACATAGACATTTGATAGTCTAAATGAGATGGGGTAGTTTCACTAGAAATTATATTATCGATTATGGTATTTTTCACAGATTGATCGTGTTATCAGATCTCCGTACGCACCAAATACTTCGCAATTACTCCCTTTTGTAATGAATCAAATAATACGTCGCCGACAGGTGAAGTGTGAACAATGCGATGGTTCACGGGAACAGGGGATTATTACTGTTTTTGCTAGGTACGCGTTATCGACACGTTCGTCGATGCATAATTAAAGGTAGACGTTTATGTGTGTATTAAAAGGCAATTTCTTTTTTTGTAAACTATATATAGTAGTTACATATAAATTAGTGTCTTCGATTGAAAGGTTTTGTCATGTAAACCTCGTCAGGGGAATTAATGGTGTGTGTGGAACAATTTAATACTATAACTGTAACATTGATTGAGAAATGTAACGAGTATTCATGCCCGTTTAAAGCTGCTGGTAGGGTGAAAAGAAGCTTAAGCTACGGTCAGTGACGTTCCAAGTATAAAAATGTATAATTATCTCGTAAGAACAACGGGAAGTTATGTATAGACTGCGGATTTTTCTTCAGAAAGGAGTTCTTTCGAACTGACAAATTATAATGGTGAAGACTGTATTTTACATGTTTGTGAATGCTACGAATGCATAAAATCTGCAGTATAATTACGAAACTATATCTTTAAGATATCAAGACGTTGGTATCCAATTTCTCAACTTCACAAGAAACGTTGCATGTTTGAGGAACTCTATCACCCATGCCAATTAATTCAATTATAAAACTTGACATTAATAATTTCATTGTTCATTCGTTCTATTTTTGTATTATCTTTCAGTTAACCATGGATTTTACGCATTGTATCTGAAATCTGATAAATTGAGCAAACAAATTCTCATTTCAATTTTCGTGAATTATTCTGCAAAAATCAAGACACGTTTGCACAAACATCCGCAATCTACTTGTCAGTACATAAAAAACTTCATTGAAACACTGAAGTTCATACAAATGCAAATTGCATGCACCAAGTAAAAAGGAGGACGGTGTACAGCTCGAATATAAGAAAGGATCATCAAAAGTACACCAAGTTAACAAATATATCCTAAAGTAAAACGCCAATCACTTCTCCCGTCTCAAAATCTCTTAACTTAGGCGTAGTCAGTACATACTCGCTTCCACTATTCAATCCATCTTATTCCAAGTCATTGCTCAGTGCCTCTGCTCCTCTTGGACAGGTTTACTTTCATCGTATTCCGGTTCATATTCATCGTTTATATTCCTGTAATAAACCTTACTGCGATATTGATATGGTCCACTGGCATCAGCAGGCAACGGTTTAGGAATGAAGACTGATTTCGGTTTATAGGTTATGCTATTGGCAATGACATCATAGGGCAGCTGAGTTTGGTACTGCAGCAGCTGCTGAATTTCTGGGGGCATGCTCTTGTCAAAAACTAATTTCGGTGCTGAAGGAATTGGCAACTTCTCAATGGGTACTTGCAAGTAGTCAGGTTGCGGTTGCACATCTTCTCCCTGCTTGTAGTTGTCCTTGTAGACGATCCTTCCTTGTAATCCTCTATCTGAGTACTCTCTCCTGGTCTTCTGCTGTTCTTGCTCATAGCCCTCCGAAGGTTGCTCGTAACTGGCCAAATCGGCATTTGCTGATTGCTGATCATGCTGTTGAGGCGCAGCATAGTTCGTAGTATACAGAAAAGCTGTATGATCAACATAAGGACGCTGAGGCTTGAAGTTGTCCAACACCAACTGCTTCACGTGTCCAGGTACCTCAGAGATTGGCCTGTACTGCAACTGAGTTGGTTCTGGTTGCTGAGCCTCTACAGGTGCCTGAGCTTGTTGAGGATACGCTTTATACTGAATCTGATTCTGTTCCGTTTGTGCTTCCGCTTGGGCCTGGGATTGTTGATACACTTTGTATTGGAGCTGATTAGGGTCTTGCTGCGCGTCCACTCGTGATTGAGGCTGAGCGAACGTTTTATATTGGATCTGAATTGGAGCTGGCTGAGCGTCTATAGGGGCCTGAGAATGTTGATATGGTTTGTACTGATACTGGACTGGTGGTTTGTAGAGCACCTCTGGCTGAGACTGAGAGTATCCTTTGTATTGGTTTGGATCTGGCTGGGCCGATTGCTGTTGCTGATACGTGGCTTTGTATTGGGCAGGATCTAGCTCGTGTTGCTGGACTACTTGGGGTTGCACTGGTCTCTGAATTGCTTGCTGAGGATAGGTGTACTCAGTCTGTCCTCGCTGTTTACGTTGCGAGTTTTCCAGCTGAGTACGCCCTTGAGTCTGTAGACCGAACAGCTTCCAGTCTACTTTCGATCCTGGAATGATGTCAGCAATGTCAGTATTTTTCGTAATACTGCGTAGCGTATACACTTGTAGTATAGTAGGTGAGTTGATACGCTTTCTTAAGTTTGAATTTTTAGAAATTGTAGTTAAGTTGCTTAATCAGTGTGATATCCATTAAAATACGAATTTAGCAAGAAAGTACAGTAAAAATGTTCAGATTGATATAATTAATATTAAACTACCCCAATCTCCTTTATAATCATAGCAACTACCCAACAAAGCAAGAATATTTACGCGACGAATGTTCACTAAATTAACCTTCTACACTCGGAAGTTCACTAGAAACCGTTCCTAAAGAAGTATAAATGACAATCAAAATTAACTGAAAGAGAGATCACACATAATTTAAGGGACACAGTCAATTTGAATATTAAACAAAATTTAATATTGAATATCAAACTTTATAATTCCACCACTAAATCAAGTGGTGACTGTAAGTCGCTTCTAGACTACAAAGTGTTAATAAAAAATAAACCATCCCCAAACTCACCATTAGGATCATTGTACTTAATCTGCGCCTGTGGCGTGCGCGCGGTTCTCTGCGCGTTCTCCAGCGCCACGGTAGTGGAGATCAGAGCGATGAGGAGGATCTAGAGAAGCAGATAGATTCTATCGTGAATAAATTACGGGGCATGAGAAACTCGGTCGCGGTTCGGTAAAGATGAATTGCCAACGATGCTGTAACGGTAATGGGATCCGTTCGAAAGCGAAGTCCTTCCTGGACGGTTAACGCCGAACAGAAACGTGCGGCTTTAGAGGACGTCGCACGCGGAAGAGAATTCGTGTACGATCGTATCGTTCAATAAAACATTTGAGTGCGGCGGCGGCGGCGTTTCCGCCTACGTCCCTGCCATTACTTTGTATAAACGGGCCGGCGCGTTACAAATAACAATCGAGCCCTGCTCGGTAATGCCGTCTAAGGTTTCACTTCCTTCTACGGGAACCGATATTATCATAAAATTAAACCGCGGTCCATACGCGCCAAGTACAAAACAGAGCAAATCGTTTCTTAAGTAACGTTTAACGGTGGGAATATTCAGCGAACAGTGAAAGAAGGTTTCATAACTGGCATCCGTGGACGTCGGGAATTCTAACTGCAAGGAATTAAGAGATGGAACCCCGTAGATTAGGAATGAATGGATCGCTTCGCGTTTAGATCGTTTTCGATTGTACCAGTCAGGACGAATTAATTGTTGCTCGCGGTATACCTTGGCGACGACTGTCACGTGAAAGTTGAGGTGTCGTTAATTACTGCAAGCAACTGCATGCGAGATCGAGATGCTGATAACGTTTGGATGACGTTTCTATTATGTTGGTTGTTGAGACTTAATTAAATAATACTTAACGAGATGTTTGTGGCGGAAGGAATTTGGGATGGTTGGAATTTGCTTCACTTATGCGACATTGTTGTATCGGTTAAGATTTTGGTCTATGAATTTACTGATTTCTTATTTGTTCCAATACTGTTCCCTTGTAATAAGGAATCGAGATTGTAGATGTCAAAGTGCACTTGATAATCATACGTATTAATTGCTTTTCAAATAATTAAAAAGCAATGCTATTTTTATTTAATTAAAAATAAAACGAAAGCAAGTTCGAAAATAAATTTCAAGAGACAGGACGTTATCATAGGGTAAAACAAAATCTTCTATTAAAAATTACAACATGAATCAATGTCGAAACAACTCTAAACATAACAAAATCAAAGATATCAACACCCAAAAACCAACTAAAAAGGGGAACTCGACAAGAGATCCCAATCACAAGAATAATCGATCACTTGTCCAAGCAACGAATCAGACGAGCACTTAAAGAATCAGTTTCCGTCACTGGCAAACTCGAGGAACACGAATTCACTCTTACCCCTAGCTCAGACCGTCACTCACTAAAGATGTAACCCCCCAAAAGAAACTCGAAAATAAACTTTGTATGATATTGCAAATAAACTCGCGTGAAATCCCGATACTCGGCTATAATCGAAACGTCAGTCGTTTGGTTCGAATTGAAAGACCGATTGCATCAAGACGCTGCGCTCGGACAGAGTTTGAGGATCGAGTGCACTCACACAAAGCCGCATGGCTGCCGGTAGAGGAGGCCGATGAACGTGGATGCTCGATTCGCGGTTCTATGCGTGGAAATCAGCCGTCGGTGCCGCGGTGGCTCTTCTATATACTCGGTGTTGCCCCCGTGTAATTGGCCGGCGAGGCAGACAGCCGGTGGCTACCTACTTTTAAAGTAATTCTGCCTCCGGTAACGACCGGACCGCGCCGCTGGGCCCTCGGGATATTATCGCGGTCGATTGCAAGAAAACGTCGCTGGCGCAACGCGGTTACAAAGCCGATCTAGGAAGCTGCGGGCAAACGAAGTGTCCTAGGTTACGGGTTTACAACCTCTCCGCGAGAGGAACAACGGCGGACGACTCCATTGTTAATGAGGCATTTCGCACGATCCCGCGCTTCCTAACGGTCCTTTTTAATGCTTCCTCTACGGGCAACCGGAAGCAAAAGACTGGAGACAGCCTCTTGGCTTTTTACTCTTGCATAGATATTTTCTGTTCGATTTCACTTTTCATTTCGATTTTCATTTCTGATTTCACTTTTTAAAATTACGTTTATGGTGTACGAATGTTTAATTTGAAACATTGCTTTTGGTATTTTTGGAACTTGAGAGGGGAAATAGCTGAGATTATTTTGGTATTTGAATTTTTGAACAATGTTTCCTTTCGGTTGTATGTGTTTTATTTATTTTCTTATTGTTCTGTAGATATAATATATAAATTTGTTTTATAATCCCAGGGAATCTAAAATATAAAGGTAAATCACATATTTTTCTAGTATCAACAAGAAAAGAAAGTATTTATCATGGTTGAAGTTATGTCTTCAACATTATTATAATTATTGTTTTCTTTTGTTGTTGATACTACAGAAATGATAATATGTGCATTGGATTTTTATCCTTTAGATTTTCTGACGTTGAATGTTTGAACATGTTTAGGAATAGTTTTAAGATGTGTAATTTGAATATTCGTCCTCTTCAGTTGTTTAATAGTTACTTGTTGGGAAAGTAAAAGTTAATGATGGGGAAGTTAAGTGTTGCGGTTTATGTGGAGAAACTTGTTGAGGGGTGAAATCAGTGTAATACGATTTGAAACTTAGATCGATTTCGAATGATTAAAATAATAAGAACGCAGGAAATAGATACATGTATTAATACGTCAAACACGATGTTCAATTACGGATATTTAACAGGCTGGTTTACATGAATATTTATAGTACTATAACAGTGAGAAACGCAATGCTTCAATAGCAATTGATGTAGGCTGTAAAGACACACGATGAATGAAATGGAAGTAAACTGTTGCATAGCACACTTTCATTAGCACGAAATTAAACCGACCTGTTACCCAATCGGTCCTTTATAAGTCAAAGAAATCTCGGAGCAAATGAAACCTGTTTCGAGCATCAAATAGTTCACCTGTGCTCTATTATAACATAACACAAGTGAAACTAGGTTCTTCTTTCCACGTTTTTCTTCTTCGAGGAAGTACTTCACGGGAAGTGATGATCTGGAATGATTGAATAGGATTAAAAAGCAAAAGTAAATTAAAATTTCACACGATACACTGACTACATCTTTCCTGACTTCACTTGTAATACTTTCCTAGGTAAACATAAATACTATTATGCATTGTATTAGAATTCTAGGGCAAATTTGTTTTTTAAATTATTATAATGAGCTTATAAAATGTTAATATTTCATTTAAATGGTTCATTATTCTGATTAAGTTACTAAGAGAAAGGTAAGAATAAATTATAGAGAGTCAGAGAAATTCTTTCAAACTGAAAAGTGAATCGTGTTTCCACGTAGCGCCCCTGAACTTTCGAATGAGTAAAAACGCAACAAGACAAGCGGTAAATAACTGTAGTTATCTTTCGATGTATCCTCATCGTTTAACAGTGAACACGTAATTCAATGCAAATATGTATATACAAGCAGTTTTATAGTCAATGAAATAAATTCCGTTAATTGGATGTGAAACTTTTCTAACTTGTTTTCTAACTTGTCATTGTAATAAGTAATTATATTATACTACTCTACAAAGAGTAATTATTTAATAATTTACTTTGTACTCTAAAATAACTGAGGGTCATGCAATATATGGCATATGTTTTATTGTTAATAAAATATTTTTTATTGGTCTTATTTTCCAGATATTTATCACTGCTTGACTGTTTTTCTATAAATAAAATTTATATGAAAATAATATTTTAAGCTACAAATCCGTAAAGTTTAAATTGAAACATATATTTATTCGAATGTATCAATTAATGATTTAAACCAGAGTTAATTAAGAAGTATAGAATATATTCACGAAATATTTAAACATAAATTGTTTAACATTCAAATGTTTAAATGACGACATCATAGGAAGTAAGTTATTAATTCGAGGCTAAAACGTAGGTAACGGTAGGCATAAATTTTCAAACGGATCCGTAACTTACTCGAAAGAAACCTTTTAGTAATCCAGTAATTTTTAAAAATTCAATCGTCTCGTTGCGAAAGAATGGTTCGCGGAATTCGTTGCCGGAGCGAGAACTCATTAACCCGGTCATAGTGAAAAAGTACACGACCGAAGTTACAGAATGCTATCGAAGGGAGCGGTAATACGTTCTAAACGAACTATGAAAACCCCATAAACCAGAATTTTAAGGAGCTGCCACGGGATTTTTTTCATCGCGCTTGAAAAATCGCAGCAATTTTCGAAATTACCAAGTCCTCGTTATCTTCATTACGACACGTACTTCGATGGAAGGGAAAAAGTTCAACAGTAGGAAGTTTTTACACAACTAATACAAATCGTGGAACAGTGGAAGATAATTCCCAGCTTCTGCGTCAGCCACCGTTTAACTTACTAATTAATTTACGTACGATTTTTACGGTTGCCCGTTTTATGCTCTCGAAAGTGGCAACGAAACCTTGCTGCGAGTCGTGTCGACTGTTTAATCCAGAGATAGTGAAGCAAGAATTGAGTCACACCATCTTTCCGATCGCGAAATTCATATCACGATAATTAAAATAATTTAAAACCGGACAAAAGGGTTTTAAATGATTCCAACAAGACTTTACTCGTTTAAGGATGACTAGGTACTATCAACGTAATATGAATATCGGAGTTTAACTCCCGGTGTAACAGTAAGTATCTTGAATGCCAATGTCACTGGGCATTCATTACTTCTTAAGCGGCGCTCCGGATTTCTTCGTTCGTGTTTTATCATGGAGGTGTAATTACATTTCTTGTATATTAGCATCGTCTAATCCCACGTGATAAAAGGTTTTTAAATACAACAATAATTCGTGCCATTAAGTCCTTTGGAAATTTATATAACCAAAATATGCTGGACGCGCGCATGATAACTTCTGTCGAAATTGTTCGCTTTAACAACGACCATTTTCACAGACATTATTAAAGACAACGTTGCCTTACGCAATGAAAATAGAGCAATAAATAAATTCTACTGTACGGAATTAATTGGCAATGTGAGTCATGTAAGGCTGTATAAACCCGGCCAGGCAAAAAACAGAAACAGCGACGAGAAAAGTTCCACGATGATATTCGAAAGGCACGACGAGAAAAAAGGATACGTTCCGCGGAAACAGACGGAGAAAGTTCATCGCGAGGAAGACTATTTCCTCTGAATTCACTGCAAAATAGAACGTGCATCGAATCTGATCTGATCAGATCGACGGTGTTTGAAGCAGGAACCATTTCTCTCGATCTAGACTGATATTACGTTGTTTTTATTAGGTGGATTATAGCTTAATTTCGATCAGATGGCAGGATAATTTAAATTTCACGCGCTTTCCCGCGCTTGTGGTTAACCAAAATGGCGTCGGGTGTCAGGGAATAATGGCGAAGATTATTAACACGTTGAATGTCGAACGATTTCACAGAGCAAAATACGCAAAATGAGCAAAATATGATATCCAATTATCGAATTGAATTTGCGTTATTATTATCGCACGTTTACCTTACTGAATGTTACAACGTTAGGTAGTGTTATTTATTATACAGAAATGTATTCGAATAATCGTCGTTTAATTGAGTAAATTATAGTAATTATAATAATTTGATTTGATTAGAGGTTTCCGGTGACCATCATGACAAAGTGTTAAACACGTTTTGTAGTTTTATTCAAACATTTAATAAATCGTTAATTGTTTAAAGAATTCAATAAAAAATGCATAAATTTATTATTTATTGAACTATTACTATCTTTTATGGATCATCTAAAGTTTTCTAATTGCGCTTAGTAGTTTTAATGTAGACTATCTCTAAAGTGCTACAAATGCATTCGAGTGTGCAGTAATTTTTACACTTGTAGATACAATTACTTCCTTGCAATTAAACTTTCAGATATATTCCATCTGAACAGGAAGTGCGCTTTTCAATCGAAGAAGGAATTCAACATGTTAAACAACCCGATTCAAGAGCAGTGAAATAAAATAACGCGGGAAGGCACGCTCGACGGTATCGAGAGGTAAAAGTAACTGGCTGACTCACGATACATGGAAAAATGAAAATAGAAGATAGGCAGCTACTAGAGTGGCAGTGAGAGGAACGATAATTATAATAATTACAAAAATGGTAAACTACTGGCAGCTCTAAAAAGGTATCAGATAAAATTAGAGAAATTTTATCTGGCGAATTTTATCGCCTATATTTCGTTGAAAAATAAGGTTTATTTATCATACATTCTCAATGATATTAAGGTAATCCAGGAGATGGAAAGATAAAAGAATCCTAATAACAATCATACCTTTATTCTATTGTATATTTCATTATAACGAAAGAGGGTTCCACAAATATATGTCCAATTATTTATTTTTTATAAAACATTTTTATTTTAACAATAGTTCACAGTTCACATACGAACGAAATTATTATTGTAAATAATTAGAATATAAACTCTCTGCGATTTCATAACCTAGAACAATAATTGGTTGAGTTGCAATTGTGAATTCCTTTCTCCAATTTTACTGCTTACACCCGTATACTTAATTTCTTTAATATAATTAGCTAACGATTATTTGAATGAAAAATACATAGCAATTACCTGGAGATATTCAGGGCATGTAAGGGTTCGCTGATAGTAAGGAACAATATAATGTGAATTCATAAAAAGGTAACTGTACAGAGTGGTATTGTAATAAACACATTTCAGTGTTCCACGAAACACATTCGGGGAACGCACGTCGAATTCGAGCAGAACGTACTAATACAATAATTACAATTAACGACGTGACGTCAGATTAGCAATTTCGAAATTTCTTTTTGCTAAAGCTAAAGCGGATCCGTAAGAAATATTTTACAACTATGTTTTTGCCAAAGGTGAGTTACCATCTTACTTAATCATTGGTATGTTGCGTGAAATACTGGAAATACGTTTGCTCTGGTTTGCTATAAACCATCATTAGGAAATCCTATTTTGAGATGGACTGAAGGATTTGTTGAACACATGCTGACGTTAATGCGAAAGACTTCACCGTATTCTGTGTGCGAAACCACTCGGAGCTGCTGCAATTCTCGAGTTTGCACAAGTATAATTTAAACGGATTTCCGTGTACACGTCAGGGTCATAATCGTGCAATTTGTTAGCGTATAATCAGAAAATATTGTAGGAGAAGGAACATCAATTGCATTCACAATTGCGGATAATATGAGGGGAAATGTACGGATACACAAAAATATCGATAGTAATCACATTACAGATAGTGATCAGTAGGTAGGTAAGTATGGAACATCTAGACAACTATATCTGGCTTAATATTAAATTAGAAATGTTGATTTTTTGTTTCAAATAAACAAGTCGATTGCCTTTAAATGCTAACAGTTCAAAAATATTTTATACAATATTTTGAAAACTAAGAAGTTTATCACTAAAATAAAGATTATATGAGTAACAAGCATTAATGAAGATCATTTCTTTAAAGTAACACAAATCTCAAAATGTTAACAGATACAAAATTCGATTTGTAAAATATGATCTCTAATTTTTCAGATAACGATACCAAAGAAAAGGCGTGCTATGAAATCAAATACTTCAGAATCATTCATTCTCAAAGGCTTCTGCTTTATCGACCAAAATATTAAAAACTGATTACAGCGTCCTCTTCTCACAGACGACAGTCGATTAAAGAACTATTCATTAAAGCAGCATCAACGGGGGTACTAATAACACTGATAACAAACACGAATAAGATGTAAAAAACAATATCACGATATACAGAGACAATGAACAAGAGATTGGGACATGAAATTGAAGCTTGAACTCTGCACTTCAACATGCAAGTAGTTCAAATTTAAAAATCCACATGAACCCATTCGAAATTGTATCCAAACATTGAGGATGACTGAGAAAATTGAACCGCTTAGTAAATTCGAGTAAATTTTCGAAATTTACCATTTTTGTAATGTTTATTCAAGTTAATTTTACACTTAAAAATATTTGTAAATAAACTGTGATTGTCATAGTGTACATTATTTATTGTTCCTTACCCATTCCATATGTTGATTTAGCAAGTAGTTCTTCAAACAACTTTACCGTTGTTGAGAAGAGGACGCTGTGATCTGTATTGAATTTCCAAGTCGATAAAGCAGGATGCTGAAGCCAAGAGGGACTGTTAAGTCAGTGATTGATTTTTATATTTGTGATTTGTATTGATAGAATTCCTCATTCCTAAAACCTTGAAATATTTTTAATACATCATAATAAAGACACATTCCTAAGATTAAAAATATATTTTTATACTTCCTTTAATCTATGCTTAATATTTTTATAATATAATAAAAGAAAATTAGACGTAAATAAAAAGAAAATATTTAAGATAATGTGCGACATGTGTGTCACTTGTCCTGTCAATAATTAAAACGTCATATTAATTACGATTTATTAATTAGCAATTCGCGAGTTACATACAAAGTATTATATCATTAATATATTCATACGGGCACGAATAAAAAAAGTATACTGACGAATTGAAACGATTGATTAAAATTAAAAAACACAAGAATTAGAAATCTAACGGTTTAATAAGTCCTGTTGGAAATAAATTAAAAAATAAATATAAACAATTTTACAACTCATCACACAATATGTATGATAAACAATATGGTAGCTAAGCTGTTTGGGAAAATGTGGGTACCAGTTACCAGGATGAAAGTTGAATGGTAGTTTAAAGGCGTGGTAGAAGATCAGAGTGCAATCTGCATTATTCTGCAGCCGGGGCGCGCGGGCGGCCATCAAGGCCTCTTCAGGTCAACGTGATCCAATCTGCCGTATAAAACGCCCCTCTCGTCGATTCTTCGAGCACTATTGCACTTCTCGTCGCCCAGTTGTCGTTATTTCTCTATTATGGGTACCATATTCGTAAGTAGTCGCTCTCAGCTTTATTGAAAACACTTTCCCGTGACATCTGTGACAAATAATATGCACTTCACCCTTCAATTAATAGATTATTATAGAATTCACCGCCAGTGAACTATATTGAACACACTACTCTTCAAGTACAAAGTAAAATTCACCAATAAGTGAAATTTACAACATTAATTATTAAATTCTAATAATGACGATTTTGAATGACTCAAAAATATCTAAAAATTTTCAGATGTTCCTGTTCTTTACCATTTCGCTGATATTGTGTCAACCACTGAATGGCCAGTATCAGTCGCCTCAACAGGCAGCAATTTTGAGCGACGCGAGATATCTTTCTGGCGATGGAACATTCGGAGCATCATACTCACAAGAAGATGGCGTCGAATTCAAAGAAGAAAGCGACGTCTACGGAAATCGTCGTGGGTCTTACTCTTACGTTGATCCAACCGGTCAAAGACGCACAGTGACGTACACAGCTGGAAAAAATGGTTTCCAGGTACACCTCGATTCCTTCTAGTCAATCAGCAACTTCAAAGAATTCTTGATACTGTCATTAGGATTGCATTTTCGCAATTTCCCATCGCGTCTAATGAATTTTATGCAATCTATTAAGAAATCGGAAGCCATTGTTACCTAGAATTACGAAACTATTATACCATTCGTAATTATCACTTCTTAAGTAACTTTAACAACATCTTTTCCAATACTCATTGTATTCATAATTAACCAATGATTAATTTCGTACTCTCTGCATATAGACATTTCATTTTTCTACGAAAACAATTAAAAATCTACGTATACAATTACTAACACAAAGAAAATCAACTTCATCAATCAAATTTTTCGAACTCACAGTACACACTCCTAACAATCCTTTCATTGACTCACAAGAATGGTTTAATTGTACGAACTATTCTTTTAAACTACAAACTATACAAATAACTGTTATATTATATACACTACTACTACTACTGCTACTACTACTCTAACATTAATACTAGTAATAGACGAAAATATTCATGTTCCATATTGTAAAATTTCATAGGCAACCGGTGACGGTATACCAGTACCACCCCCGCAAGTGCCGCCGCAGCCAGAGTACGAGCCTTTGCCACAGTACAACCCACCAGATTATCAACCGCCAAACTACAATCCACCCCCGCAATCACGGTATCAACGTCCGAGTCCACCAGTATACGAACCACAGCCGCAGCCGCAGCCTCAACCAGAGTATCAGCCTGAGCCTCAATACCGATACAGGCCTCAACCACCACCGCCACCGCCACCAGAGATCCAATCCGTACCATCGTACAACCCTCGGCCACAGTATCAACCCCCGGCCAGGCCGCCACCGCAGTACAACGCGATTACGACGCCAGCCCCTCGAAGATTCTATCCACCTGGGAAGCTGAACTTCAACAGGACACCCGATGGCTACTCCTACACGTTCAGTAAGAGTTAAATTCCCATTATCGAGATCTGAAACTAGAGGTATTTAAAGAGAGAGATACAATGTCAGTGAGATGTACAATATGCGAAGAATGAGCTGAGCAGATGGAAGTTATGTAGTATGAAAATTAATGTTCCTCGAGGGTTGATAACATTTTGTAAACATTGAAGAAGGTTTTATGCATTTATTTTATCGTTATTTTAACCATTTGAATAATTGTTGTTATTAATGTCTAGTAACTATTATTCAGTTTCGATTAATCAGAATATTTTAAAATAAGGATCTCTTGTTGTATATGTACTTTGAAATTTGTAGTTCATGTATTTTCAAATTTTTCGTAATATTTTGAGTAGGCACCACTCTCATCTTTTTGAACTTATTATAAAACAGAATTATAAAGTATTTTATGTATATAAATGTAAGGACAATTTAAGGAATGATTAATTTTCATTGTTACCAGCAGCACACTTATTTAATTTATGAAACTTTTAAGTCTATAATCACACAAAGGATTATGTCAGAACCTCATATATCTTATGTAATAGTATAATTCTTAATTACCACAGTTTTGACCTTAAACGAACCCATTATACGTTAGTTTAGTCGCTGAATATTACTTACTTTGTGGAAGCACGGCTCGTGTAGTTTCCCGAGATCATAAATTGTGCACGCGGAAACTATCGGGCATTGATTTGAATACGGGATCACGTATTCGTAATTAAGAGATTGTGGGTAACCAGAGCCTTGTCCATGATCTTACCGCAAGGCTCACCGCCACGGACAAGTTAAGCTTCCTGTAAAAGGCTGCATAAGCTTTGCATAAATTTCTACGGAAATGCAACGAATGGATTAATCGGTTCTGTCTTAATTAAATCTGGTTTTTGCGCTCATACTTTCGCTCAAATTATCGAGGCACGCGAATGTTCGCATAAACAGGAAAGCGTTGTTGGTCTGTTTCAACAAAACTTCTTCCTATTCTGCGTATTTCTTTAATTTTATTCTGGATACGAAAATCTGAATTTAATAATGTCCATATAGTCTGTTAACTTCGTAAAGTATTCCATTTTAGATAATGTTGATAGCACTGTTGGTCTGTTCCAACGAAACTTCTTCCTATTCTCTGGATTTCTTTAATTTCAATCTCAATGCAGAAGTCCGAGTTTAGTAATAATGTTTTAATAACGTCCATATGGTTTGATCATTTTTTAGAGTTTTCCACTTTAGATGATATTTAAAGAAACGATGTTAAGTATAGTAGTTACAGACAAAATATTTTTTAACAAATTCGAAAGTATTCGTACAAAAATAAATGGTTTGGTATTTGACGGACGCTGATCGGTTAAATTCTCTGCGACGCATTGCTCGGCCGACGCCCTGCGTTTTGCATAGCAATTTCCTTTTCAAATGCGAGCACAATCCCGCGCGCTTCGGGGTCACGATACTTTCATCGGGCAACCTTTGGACATTCTCCACACCGTTGCGATTAACTTTGTGTGAAACTCACGATTCTCGGAGGGAAGATACGTTATTCCTTAGGGCGAGTCCATATCCTTCATCAGTTAAATGTCACGGGAGTAAATTTTCTTTCCCTTCTTCTTCCCATCCATTTCAATTCCCAACGATTACTCGTTTCCATGTGAAACAATCGGTAAATTCTGTGCTAAACAAAGTTTTACGGAATTCAATATTACAGATTACTTTGATATTAAAGTCTTAATATTAATCTTAACAATCTTAATACGAATTCTGAAAATCTCAATAGTCCTAATATTAAAATTTGAACGTTGAACCTTGAAAATCTGAGTAATCTAAATATTAAACTTTAAATCCACCTTGAAAATCTGAATAATCTTAATCTTAAGATTCGAATCTTGAATCCTGAACATCTCAATAAGCTTAACATTAAGATTTCAATTTCAGATCTTGATCATCTCGAATCTTGAATATTGAAAATCTCAATATTGTTATTAAAACTAGATTCACGGAACGCGTTAATTCGACGTGTATTGAATTTGTTTAAATACTATTTGACAAATGTTTACGTTGACATTGATTGATGTAACTACACCAGTATGTATCTCAGTTATCTAACTTTAAACCTTTCATTTCCAAAATCCGAATGAACGAACATGAATTTTTCTAGAAGCAATAAAATCAACCGTACAATAAACGTCCGTAAACCTAGTGTTAAAAATAAGATCAATATCGACATTCCTAAGATATTACCATTAATAATCAATCGTCCAGACTCAAGGCTTGAACCAAGTCAAGTACCATTGTGTCATCAGCCGCGAGTTAAGGCGTTTCAGGCGGTAACGGAAGGGGAACGTTAGACAAAGGGTCGATTATCTCATTATCCTGGCTCGCGAATAATACCCGGCGCAACCGAACGGCTGGGGAAAAATGCAGTTCGGCCGGGCGGCCATTTACCGGTACCAGTAACGCGGGCGCGGCAAGGCAAACCGGCCATATCGGAGCAGGAACTCGATAACCTTAGAGGTGGGCCGAAAGAAACGCATACCGTAACGTTTCGCGTCACGTTGCTGTCGTTTAAGAAAGTCGATCGCGGATTTAATTTACGGCCGGCCGGGCGCAGCACCGGATGCAACGCGGTTGCAACTGTCGCATGCTCGTCGTGCCGCATGTCCCTCATCCGCGTTACGCTGCCACGGTCCTTGGGTCGCGTTTCATTGAAATTTATCGCGAGCCCTATTAAAAGAAATCGGCTCGACAATAAAATCGAGCTCTGCCTCTGAACAGTTTGATCACGATATAAATTAAGACACACTTTTTAAAATTGATTATGAATAAATATAGAGAATTTACTGTGTACCGTATAATTCGTAAGGCAAATAAAACGTACGATTTGTCTATTTAAAAGAATTGATCTAATTGTAGTGATATACTTACAATTACAAATTATAAGGAAAATGTTTTAGAGATGTCGTAAGGAATACGAAACTCTGTATATGTGTAAAATAAAAGTTTCTACTAAATGGCGTTTACAATTCATTTCCTATGTTATTCCACTGTTTCTTAATTCATAAACTTACGTTTCTTGTGATTTTTATGAAATATGAATTATCAATGATGCAAGTCACTTTTAGAATTGCATGTTTCTTTTATATATACGATAACTAGATCACGGATCTTTATGCGATTATAAAAAATACCCGACAACTAACGAGAAACGATATTCTATAAACTTCGGGAAGTTTCATTTTATTTTTGGTTAACCGATGCCAGTAACGACGAAAGTAAAACTGTCGTTTCTTTAAGTGCTCCCAAAAGAAACCGTTAATTTGCATAAAGTCCTGCGGATCATTGTTAAAATTACATATCGTTCACGCACAGTCGGGTAACCTAAGAATGCAAAGGCGTTCGGGGATTCACTTTTCCAGTCGTATTTTATTTATAAAGGTATATGGGTATACATTTCGTTTCATGATTATGGCAGTAATAACTGACTCTGAGTAGCTGCGTGTGTGACATCAACAGTATAAAAGTAGTCTAAACAGCCGCTATTAAGAGGCAGTGGCATCGGCCGTTCGCTCCTCACAACGAAAAAAAGAAAAAAAAAGTCGAGAAAAGAAGAGGAAAACGAAGAATCGGAAGAAAGAGCTTTAAAGGCAAAACCACTCGTCTTGCGTATTACCCCTTAACTCACGGTGTCTAAAACACTTTCGTCCGCATTTTGCTTTTGCTTTTCGTGCCGGTGCGCTTGCTTAACGCGTTTCCTTCGAGAACGGAGAAAAAAGAATGAAAGGAGAACGATATCGAAGCGAAGATGTCGGACAAGTCCCGGAGAAAAGGCACTATACGTCTATTAAATACAGTATTTTTCGACTCTCGACCGTACAAAGTACCCACGGACACAAATCATTTAACCGCATCATTATACCTCGACGTCTCGTTTCCCTCACAGCAAAAGGATTCTCCCTCTATTCCCGAAGGCCGAGCGAAAAGAAGACAAGATTTCGGATCACCGATACCGCTACGCCCCTGGACGCTCGCTACAGTTCGCAAATTTATAGCCCGCGCGGCCGGTTATAATTTTCTGAATTTAACGCGTCAGTTTCCTGGCGTTCCTTCCTAGCGAGAAAACGAAAAAGTTAATGTGGTCCGGATCAACCGCAAATCAACGTTAATTGCGCCTCCGCGTCGGACAGAATTTAATTGCATCTTCCCGTTAAGTATCGCTGATTTACGATCGGACACGATAGGCGAACGCTATAAAGTGAAAATCCGTATGTACAAGGTGACCGCGGAACGCGCGACGTCTTTTCAATAACCAATTGATTCTGTGCACTGGCGTTTCGCGCACTACGAATACTGAAAGAGGCGTTCTTTAATTCGTTCAATTATACTACTCAAAATTCGTAGAGGAGGCTTCCGAATGCTTCCATTGAACCAAGTGTATATCAAAACAGATTTAATTTCTATGTAATAACGTTCTTCTCATATATATGACCCGTGTAATCTCTTTTTTATAAAATCTCGTGTCTTTTGAGTAGTATACTTTGTTTAACAATATTTCTATAGAATTACAGGAAATAGAAACATCCTAAACTCATAAACACATAAGTCACTGTACGTGAAAAATATTAAAACAGTTGTCAGAGTAAACGAACAAGGAACGAACATGTATATGTTATACTATGCCGTGGTAAATTTTGTTTTTTAGAAAAACCCGTTATATCTCGTAAGTTTTGAAGATTACTTTTCAAAACAAAGCCTTACGACGAAAGAACCTTTCTGTTCACGAATTTCGCTGGAAATCACGACTCACCCGGTATATCGTCAGACTACACAAATTTCGCGTCTACGATTAAGTTATTCGCTGATCGGTGCACAGGCCTCGAGACATAAGTTTCTGCTCGATGTTACTCCAAATATGTGAGATCACGTAAAAGGAGTTTGCATAATTGTGTAAGAGAACCAGGCCGGCGTTTTAATCATTTTTCCTCTCCCCATTTCCCTCGCCGCGGTAATTACGTTGCACGAACGTTTTCCTCTCGAAATCACGCGCGAGAAACTCCCTCCTCGTCCTTCCGCTCCATCATTTCTTCCCTTCCCCCGTAACAATCGCAACTATTGTCGATTAAATCTTATATATTGCACTAGCTATAATTATATAAAATATATTATCTAACGGTAGGCTTAGCTTTTTCTTTCATTCATTTTCTTTAATTTTCTTTTGAAGTATACCCTTTTTAGGCACGATCATCATCCCGGAAATAGATTTTTCTTGGTTTCGAACGGAAGCCGGAAGTGGTTGGTGCGAAGCAGGAGGCACGGCAGTTCGGTAACAGTCGGTTTCGCGCCTGACTATCCCGACATCGTTCTATTTTAGAGACGAAAGGAAGCGCCGTAGAAGCGGGAGCTCTATGAGAAATCACTGGAAGAAAAACAGTTTGCTCGCAATGCGGTTAACGCTCTGCCGTGATGGAACGTTGTTTGACGTTCGGTTCATTTCGAACAATGAAAAAAATTATGTACAGTTATTATTGTCGCCTAACGTTTGATTACCATCCAACAGAAACAATAGACACGCGCAACGTTCCTCGACGTTATTGGTCTGCGATTCGAGTCTACGGATGGAAGAAAGATTTCATGAAAAATGTCTGATCAGAAATATCATACGCTTCGTTCGTGGATAACACAAATAATTTTTACCTTTTAATCGCCTACGAAAAATGGTATCTTACTAATCCCTGGTTAAGTACATACGAATACCTCAGGTACCAAGAACAATCGTAACAACAAACAAAGACTTCGAGTACCTTTAAAATAAGAGGAGAAACAGCGATTCAAACGAGAAACAAAAATGGAAAACGATCTGTTCGAAACTGATACTCGGAATACAAACATTTGCGCTGCATGCATCGGTAATATTGTCAACACTTACGCTATACCACAGTTAAGATCTACACGTTCGGTACTATAAAATCGATAATGCGACTAATAATACGGTTGCACCCGAAGGAACATCGAGTCTCGTTCTGAAAGAAATCCGAACGAAGAATGTAGACGAAGAGAAAACAAGAAAAAAAAGAGGAAAAAAAATCACATGATCGAAATATACTCTTAACTTTAATACGCTTTTATATGTAGCTTGGTATAATCATCCAATAATAAATGATTTTTAACAATATAAAATATTCGTATACTTCTATTTTCAAACGAACATCTTATCCAAATAGGCGTTCTCGGTAAGTGGTTCCCTGGGACGCGGCAATTCATCGTTTCATCGCGTGATTTGAGAAAAAAGAAATGGACCTATGTACTCTGAAATGGTGTATCCTCCAGATCATGGAGCATACGTATAAAAAAACGAAAAATAAAAAACAAAGATAAAGAAGTAAAATAGCATTGAGAACAAACCTGTACATCGAGTAGCGGATACTGCTAATGGTTAAAAATGGCGGGAAGCTAGCTATTTAGGAACGTATACTATTAAGTATAATCACATTTAAATACTGACGCAATAGTGGTGTCCCTTTCTCGTAAATCAATATCACGTCAATACCTAAATATTTTCACGAGTAACGTATGTCTTAGCTTCATATACATATATACGTGACACACAGTAGTACACCTTACGGATAACCCGAGTACCTTAGCGTTCCTGATATGTTGCGCGATGCGAAAAATATTTTGTTCCTCTGTTTCCACACTAGTGGCGGCGGCAAGCGATATTATCGGGCATCACTGATAACTGGTCAAAGGGGTGCGGGATCGTTGAACCGCGAATAGAAACGAAAATAAAAAAGAAATGAAAAAGGAAAACAACAGAGAGAAACTAGAAAGAAATAAAAACGAAACTTGAATGGTCGACAGCTTTTCGAGAGCTGCCGCCTCTCGCCGACGTATTCCTCTTTTGTACACGCGAGCGTACTACTGTGCGTCCGCCCCCTTAATAAATCAGTACATATTCAATTACAATCACAATATGCATGACGATCCTATGCGAGAAAAAGTTCTGGTCGAAATGGAGTGGAGAACTTGTACTATGGTAAGACACGAATCGATGGTACATATTGACAGGAGGGATAATTCTAGCTGCATAATCCCGACGGGTCGACGAGTCCGCGCGCGATGAGCTCTGCTGTCGCCGGGTCGCCGGCCTGTTTCCCGCTCGAGTGTTGGGGCGGGGTTTGCTGCGCGTGGGGCTCGAAATGGGAACGAACGTGGAACATAAATTCAGCCTTATCCGTGAAATCTGTACGGCACATCAGACAGAAATGCCTCTCGGAGGCGTACGGTTGCGGCGGCGCCGCCGATCCTGGGAAATATGGCGCCGCGTGTTGCGGCGGTGCCGACGCTTCCAAATGAGATCTGCAAAAAAGAGAGAATGGAGAAAATGAAGAATGTAGAATAGATATGTATAGATGTATGCATACGCGAACAATCGCACGCGAGCGCGCGCAATACGGAACGAGGAAATCACGCGATACGATCTCTCGACTCCTCATAAAGAAAAATTTACCGAGCATGCTGCATCCACTCTTCCCTCGTGGCCAATGCTCGGCCGCATAATTCGCACGCCCAACTCACTGGCTCTTCCTTCAACTTGTGTATAGTGTCCGGACGTGATTGCTGTTGCTGTTGTTGCTGCTGCTGCTGTTGCGCCTGCTGTTGCTGCTGCTGTTGCTGAGCCTGTTGCTGCTGCTGATCCGAATTCGGGGCGGTGGGCGTAGACAGCGGCGCCACCCCTGGTCTGTGTCTGAGCTTATTCATGTGAATAACTAGCTTATCTCTACGCGCGAATGCTTTTCCTGCAAACAGTAATAATGGAATGGTTAATCCTTTCATAGAGGATGTATGTTACGAAATATTCATTGGTACCGTGGCTATATCGATTTCTATTATGCAATGCTTGTTCATATAGGGTCGAGCCATGTGACTGTATCATCTTGAATTATTTGTAGATTGACTGTTCTGTGCGAAATTGTTTCAAACAAATGTTGTAACATTTAAACGTAATGCACGAATTAATGAGGTACGATAAGCTAGGTCGCATGATGTATGCAATATTATAAACCCTTGGATTTTGTGAAATTGTCCCCTTATCTTGCGTACAATATTGAACAAATTTCGCAAGAAGCAAATCAGTAGAGAAAGTAGATCAGAGCAGATACTGCCTTTGTTTATTAGTAATTTGAAAAAGGGCTACGTTAACTGTCGATTCATTTCAATTGTAAAAGTTTTCATAGCATCTCTATACCTCATAAATTCATAAAAACGCGTCCCACGTGTCTAACAATTACAACGTTCATTTTCCCTCTATCAAACGCATTAGAATATAATAGCTCGCCGAAGTGGCTGACAAAAGAATCGCAGCCGACCGGGTTAACGAAACTCAAACACGAGAATTAGCGAAATGCGTTTGACGGCAGGTACACAGCGCGCTTACCGCAAACTTCGCAGGAGTACGGTTTCTCCCCGGTATGGATACGCATGTGAATAACGAGTTTGTCCTTGCGGGCCAGGCCCTTGCCGCAGACGGTGCAGGCGAACGCCTTTGTCGCCGGCTCACCCGTATTAGTCGCCTTGGAGGCGAATCCCGGACGAGAAGGTACATTGTTCGTCGTTCTCAACGGCTGGTTCACTGTTGGAGCCCTGCTTCCAAACTGCTGATCCATCGCGCCGGGGAACGGGGGCATTACACCGCCAGGCCGCATCGCTGCTGAGTAATCCGGTGACCTGTTTCAAAGTACGTATCGTTTAGACGACACAGTTTTCCTCTACGTCACGGAAGTTTCAATACTTCTGACCCAGTAGATAAACAGTCGTAATTGACTGCTATCGCAAGTCAACTTCAAGTCGCCACAAGAAAATGTAGTTGCACTCGAGTTTTCTCAACTTTTACTAGCCTAGCAATTAGAACTTATTGCAGTGCATTATATAAATTGCACTGATTTCCTTAAGAGAAACTCTTCAAATACGACACTAAACTTTATTTATACCTAAGAGAATTGCTTCCAGTGTAAAAGATTAGATTCTGTTTCTCACGTACGCTCGCTCACTTTATAGTCGATACTGGTTTTATTATTGTGTCAGCCGGATGATATGTTATTCGGGTACTCAATTTTAATTCAACATTTTTCAGGGAATAGAGAAGCAGATTTAAATTATGCGTAGGTATAGCCACGTAGGAAAGTATGTATTTTCGATGGAAGCCAGAGACAAGGGTCCACAGTGAGAGAGTTAATAAATGTTCCCGGATGAATGATTTACTCACCACGTTCCGATCGAGCGTAGCACCCGGACACCATCGTCGTAGCCAAGGCCATCATCAGGCAACGTGAACGTCGGATTAGGAGTTTGAGGTGTTGCAGGTGGACCGGGACCGGCGAGCCTCGCTTGCGCGGCTTGTTGTGCCATGTGCTGCTGCACTGCAGCATGGGCCACCGCGTGAGCCTCGACGTAAGCGGATCGCTGCTGTTGCTGCTGGCTACCATTAGACATCTTGTCTTTGTCCGCGCCCTATCAATTCGTTTGTTTGCTCTTACTTCGTGCTCTCTAGAGGACTACGGTTAACGCGGGCTGATTCGATTAAACCTCTTTGAGGATTGTGTTACTAGAGGTTATGTTCCATATCGTTGCATCGGTGGAGCAACGTATTTGTAGTCATTTAGTGTTATCAGCCGTTCGTCTCTGTGATTTCTTCGACAACTTCGTGAAATCTATATTATTCTATTATATCATGAAGATTAAATATTACTAACGAAAATAACGTTTAATTCTGATTATTAAAACAGAGTTATTTCAGAAATTGATTTAAAAGTAAGGCAATAAAAGTGAATGAATTATGGAGCGAACTTATAGAACTATAGCCCAATTATAAAACAATGCAAGAGAATTCTACAAATCCAAGTAAGGTTAATGTGGTCATAAAACGTTGACCCCGAACGGCTTCCAAAAATTGCCTCCGAATTATGATACACTTATTGATAAATCGGCGTTAATCAGCATGAATCGGTGAATTCAAGAGTCACAGCTGAAGGCGATATCGCGGTTTCACGATTCGCCTCCAAAAACACGCGATATGTTCAATGTTAATAAACTCTGGCTACAATAATTGTAAACAGTACGGGGAAGAAAGGCAAGGAACGAGTTCGCAGTCGACGAACACAAATTCAGATTGTAAACTAAAGTGACCGATGTGGCGTCTGGCAAAAAGTAACGTTCTAACTCGAACAAAATAATATTGCGTGCGGCACGATTCGGGGAAACGAAAATAGCAGTCCGGGAACAATAGTAACAACGTTCGCCGGGTATATGTCCGGTAATACATCGCTGCAGCTACAAAATCGAACGCGGCCTATACCGGCCGGACAATATTCCGCGATATTTCTATCAACTCGCGCACAAAAGCGTAACGGCTTCGGAGCCAATATGGAAAAACGATTAATCACGGGGACAGAGGCGAGCAGAGCGCGCACGAAGGCGCATTCTGTGCCAAATATCTGTTAACGATAATCGATATTTAGTAGGGACGGAATATCACGGATTCACACTCTACGCAGAACTTCCACCGTTTTCTAAAACCCATCTCGCGGACTTCGTCGAATTGGAGCGTAAACAATTCCCCACCGAAAAAATTGGTGTTCCCTGAACTTACGCAAGGTTATCCCTCTAATTTACGAATCTTTGCCTGGATAGGTTGATAAGGGTTCATTGGTAATAGTTCTTTAACAGTGAAAAAGGAATTTCGTGTTTATCGCAGGAGTAGATGCGTAGATTTGCCGCAAAGATTGGACAGTCACGAAGGGATAACACTTTTCGTTTAATCGATGCGAACCGAATCGAATGCACGGGGTGAGTCATCTAACTCGATCACCTTAAATTACTTGTAAAGAGTTTGTTACATGACAAGAGGTACTTCTATCAATTGTAACGTGTAATGGTCTTAGCGTTATTTACATTGAATATAAATGCCACTGGATACTCGGAGAATGCTGGGTTTCGCGGGAATAATTTACAAGTGACTTAAGGTGATAGAGTTGAAAATTTCATCGTGTACACCAGGAATCGCATTCGACATTATCAGATCCTCCGAAGCGTTCAATACAAACGAGAAGTTTCTAGACCCCTAAACTACGTATAACGCTGTATTGTCGATGAGTTTTATACGCGAGACAATAAAAATTTTACGCAATCGACGCGCTGAAATCGCACGAAAATGAAAACGAAATGAAACCGTAAAAATAAATGGGAGCCACAAACGCCCGTAAAATCAGCTACAAATCGTAACCTTTGTGCCGCGATTCAATGGCACACACCGAGACACGAATTTTTGGACAATCCGATGGACACCCGAGACGAGGGGTTAAACCAGGGAATCGCGAATACGCGAAAAATCGTTTCAAAGCCGACTTTGCGTGTAGTCTAGAGCTAAATCGTTCGAAATCGAAATGTATCCTAAAAGTCGACCGAACAAAACGGATTTTCATCCACGTGACGATTGTTCCCGAAGGGGACGCGACGCATCGTTGAGGACTCTTGCCGATCCTCCGTGAGAGACACGGGAGAGCATCGCCAGAAGCCTGTATAACCCCGTAGACGACATCGAACACATAAAAGACAGGAAACTTTCGAAGAAGCCGAAAAGATCTCTCGGAGCAGGCTGCTCCGTCAAGGTCCTCCGGGAGAGAACGATGACCGAAAGGAGAGACAGAGAGGGAGAGACGAGCGAAGAACGCGAGACAGAGAAAGAGGGAGAAAGAAGAAAAGGGGAAAGAGAGAAGCAGAAAGACGGAAAGGGGGAAGGAGAACACGAGAAAGAGAGAAAGAATGATGGGAGGCGAAAAGGGAAGGGAAGAAGGGTCTGGCATAGAGTAACAGAGGAAGACAGGCAGACACAGACAGTCAGGCAGACAGAAGGAGAGAGACAGAGAAAGGTAGACACAAAAGAGAGAAAGACACAATGTACAAAGAGAGCCAGACACGATCGTTCCCACAAAAGACATGGGAAAAGGCGATCGACGAGTTCTCGCTGAACGTACCTAACGCAGGAGGAACACACTTGGTCCAGGCAGCCGGACGCGGAATGGAAAACCCGTGGAAACTCCGTCTGGCGCGGCACGGAAGATGTGCACACTGCTACCGTAGCCCGTGGAACGCGATATATCACCACTGATTACCGGCAATTGATCACACAGCAGTAAAAAAATAGAAGAACTAGGCGATCGAATCACGTCACTTCGTCCTGGTGCCCATGGTGGTGGTCGCGCGGACCCGGGCCGGTGTACGCGAACAACGCGGTGGAAAAATCGAGTAAAAAGGAGACTGGGATGTCCAATAGCTACGGCCGCGAACTTGGCGTGTCCTCGGAGTCTCGGAGCGTGTCCAGCGGAGGCTCTCTCCCCGGCGCGATGCAGCAGCGGCCGGCAGGAGAAAAACCGCCTAAATAGAAGCCGGCGGCGGCGGCAGCAGTGGTAGCCGGTGGCCCGGAGGAGAGAGAGAGAGGCCGAGACCCGTGAGGACCGCGAAACGGGTGTGTAGTTTGATCTTCGGTGTCGCGGCAGGCCACGCGCGTTCTTTTTCGCGACGCCGCACGAAAGAATCTCGCGTTTTACGGGGCGAACGGAGCGTGTCCCGTGGAGCTAGCCGCCGATTCCCGGCGCGGGAGGATGTAAGGACAAAGAGACGAAAAAGAAAAAAGGCGGCCGGGAGACCGGCAGAGGGGATAGCTGGCGGAGCAAGTGAGAGACAGAGAGCGAGGGAGAAGGACACGCGGCAGGGGAAGGAAGGGGGGCAGGGAAGGAGAGCAGAGGGTAAGTCCGAGGGAGAAAGGTAGAGAGGGTACGCG